AACCTGGGATAGCAGAAAGTGTCCCTGCCCATTGCAGGGGATTGGAACTGGGTGAGCTTTAAGGTCCCTTCCAACCCAAACCATTCCAGGATTCTCTAAATGCCTTGCCATTTTCAGCTGGCACTGAGGAGGTGAAAGCACAGGGAAAAAACAGGTTTGTCTATTGGGACTTTGGGTTCCATATGGGTTGAGCTATTGCTGGAGAAATGATGCTCTAACCAGAGGAATAATAATGTTATCCAGGTGCACTAGTTGGGAATTACTCAACTAGCCCAGCCTTGTTCCAAGTGGAAGTGAAGGCCCAGGAAAGAGATAGAGATTGATCCCAATGGCTTCTTCCAAATGTCTCCATTCTTCCACAGTCTTGATGGGAGCAGGGAAGACTCACCTTGTTGAAGCAGTGTGAGTGTGCCTGCGTGTGTCTGCACAGGAGTGGCATTTCTGCTTCATGAAAGTGGTGACAAATCACCGAGCTCAGACACAAATCCAGGTTATAATGGCTTCATAAATTGCCCAGTGACAGCTGACAGGGAGAAAGTATTCCAGTGTGTGCTCTCAGATAACGATGGGTGCATGGAAATGTAATGGATTGTGACCTGGAGGGAAGCAGGTTAAGATAAATGTAATATTTTGCCTCTACCAAGGCTTGAGAGCTTTCCTTCATAATGTTTCTGAGGCACCACTGGTGCAGAGCAAGATGTTAACATGGAAAAACGTGTGTTTGGGGTCTCTTATCCCTGTGCCTGAGATAGATGGTCACTGTGAATCCACTTAAGTTGATCTATCTCTATTTTTAATAATATATTTTTAATACTTAGACTTGAAGTCACAAAGGGCTCAAGCTCCATCATCAAGCCATAAGATGATGATTCCCATGAAGGTCTTTTATTTGACCTGAGAGATGAGAAACTGCTTTAGCTGAGAATTTTAACTTGACAATTCAGGCCCTCACAAACTGAGGTCTATGGGCCTCAATCATAAACCACTTTGTTTCTGTCAAGTGGCATTTTAGGAATTTCTTTAATCACATTTCTTTATTCATTTATTCATTCATCTCATTCATTTACATTGTTAAGTCCTTAACACCCAAAATTTCTGTGCATCCTCCAGGAAAATTTGAAGAGTCACCCTCAAGTGCAGCAATTTATTATTTGAAGTTATTTGCTTGTCAAGCTCCATGACTGGGAGGGAAGGAAGGAGACAAAGGCATTCAACTGATTTAGGAGTTTTCTTGTTTGAATAGACCTCAATTCCCTTTCATGATAGAACATAAACTTTGTGGGGCTTTTTTTATTGCTAATATGTTTGACTCTAGACTAGAGCTGCAATTAAACTGAGGGAAGAAATGAAAGTGATGGCTTTTTGCCAAGCACTCTGGTTTGTTTGTTTTTAATTTGCCTTTTTTCTGCTGTTACCCAAAAGGTTAAGTGTGCTAAGCCTAAATTAGCCCTTTTTCCATTTCTTTTTCCCTTTATTTTTCATTTTCTTTTCCTTTCTCTTTTTTCTTTTTCTTTTTCTTTTTTCTCTGCTTTTTCTCTTTTTTCTTTTTTCAATTTCTTTTTACAATTCCAAAGAGGGGAAGAAGAGAGGAGCCACTTGGGTGGATGTGCCATCCACAAAGCCAAGGAAAACCATCTCACTGCCACGTCCCATGTGGACATGAGCAGGGCAAAGTCTCTGAAGAAAAACAGGGAAATAAGGTGTTGTAAATGAGATAGTAGAAGGGGAGAGAGTAGAAAAAGCAGCAAAGTAATGCAGCTTTTCCTGCTGAAAATGTCTGTTCTAAAAATAGTCTGTGCTAGTCTTTCAATGCTGACACATCATGAGTTCTGCTCTTCATGAAAAAAAAAACCTTCAGTGAGGTGTAATGGCTCATCTCTGCCCAGTGTCTGTCATCTAAAGGGTAAAACGTCTTACATAAACATGGATTTTATTTCCCAGCACTATAACAGCCTCTCTGAGGCTGAATCTAATCAATCAGAAAGGTAGAGACCCATTATCAAGGGCTGTATGTAATAAAGTCTCTCAAAAGCCAGGAAGGGCTGTTTTCCAAATGTGTCTCTGAGTCAGATGTCAGAGTATTCAACAGGGCAAGTGCACCTCTCATAGAAATATCTGGTCTGGTATAAATTTGCCCACTTTAAGCAATAGTGGCAAACCCAGGCAGCAAAAAATATCATTATTTCATTTTAAAGACAGGACAGTGCATCCAGCTCTGTTCCAGTTCCAACTCTGCAGAACATCCCTGTGCTGCAGGGGATCCCTGGCTGGAAGAACTGCTCAAAATGGTCCACAAAAGTAGCTTTTCTCCAGGTAAACCCCAAAATTCCAGGGGTGGTAGCAACTGCTCAAACAGGCAAATACCCCTCAGCAAGGTGCAAAGAATTGATCTGCTGCAGGTCTCTCAGGGAAGAAGATGCCAAAACCCAGCTGCTGCCCATGGGAATAGAAGAATAAAACCATGGAATAATTAATGCTGAAAAGACCTCTGATATCAGCAAGTCCAACTGCTGGTTGTGATCCACCTCAGGTCTGTAACAAGCCACCACCATTTTAGGGGAGAAAGTAGAGCCAGAGAACACCACAAAAGCAAAGGTTGCCAATAAGGGAGAAGAGGTGATGGATTTAGGCTCCCAGATCTGGGGTTTCTGCTGTCACAGCCTGAGTTCAGCACAGCTCCTGCTCTGTACAGCAAAGTCAGGCTGGAAATCCCTTCCTGAGAGTCTCTGATGGTCAGATATGATGTGCACTTTCTGTGAGCAGCTTTTCCCTGTCCTGTAAAGTCTTGCAGTTCCCTGTGATGTGCTCCAGCCTCATGCCTGTGCCATTAGTGCAGTGCAGCCATCCAGAAAGGATTCCCTAATGTACAACCCCCCAAGGGAATCCATATTTTATGAGTGTGTGGCTGAGATGCCTCAAAACTGCCCCCTTAAACCTCGTGTCTCACCTGTGAGCTGCTGAGTCAGGGCCAAATATTGATAAAGTGAAACCCTGAAAGGATTCAGTGGCCCCAGTGGGGCTGAGTCCACTCACACCCTCAAATCCCTGTGCTGGCTGCACACACACAAAAAGAATGTGGTGATGCCACGGGGATGAAGCTGCTGCATCCCCAGCCCTTGTCAGCTCAGCTCTGTGTCACCTTCCCTCCCTGGGAGTCCCTGAAGTCACACGTGGAATATTCTGAGTTGGAAGGGAGTTACCTGCCTGCTCTGCCTCCACCTTCCCCCATCCCCACCATGCAGCAAGTCCCTGCCCCTGCCTTCTGCCTCACCAGGGAGCTGATGGGCACAGAAATTGTTCAGCAGGAGCCCAGGAGGGTCCCCAGTGTCACACACTGAACTAATCTGGAGTGATCAGTGGCAACAAGTCCCTTTCCAAAACACGTGGCACCAAGACTTTCCACACTCGCCTTTTTAACCAGTGTGGTTTCACAGCAACTGTTTTCAGCAGGAGAGGGGAACATGGGGGCAAAGTGGGACCTTGTCACTGGGGCAAGTCAATTATTGCTCTGAATTCCACACCTTGCACGTGCAGAACACCAGGGAAGAGCCACTAATCAGCAAATTCTGGCTGTCAGGTTCTGTTGCAGGGCATTATTCCAGCAGACTCAGGTTCTCTTGCAGGGTGTTATTCCAGCAGACTCAGGTTCTCTTGCAGGGTGTTATTCCAGCAGACTCACTGAAGGCAACGGGGCTTTTGCTGAGTCAGCATCTCAGTGATGCAACTGGTGACCTCCTGTAAACCTGCAGCTGAACCTGCATTCTTCACGTGCTGGGGCAATAACCAGCTCTGGAATATTCCTTAGGGCAGCTGATTCCTACCTTCGGGTGTTTTGCAGTGGGTTTGGCCCCTAAGTGTCAGAAATTTCCCTTTTTATTTATTTTATTTTCTTTTGTGAGGGAACGGTTCCCATTCCCTGGGCTGCAGTGAAACCTTCACACAGCGAGTTGCTGTGTTTAATTATTCATTTCCTGAAAAAAATCAATGCACCTTCCCTCTTTCAATCTCTCCATTTCCAGTGTAATCAAATATGTTTGTGCTTGTGTGTGTTTGCCCTGCTTCTCCTTCTTATCCTCTACTTTAAATATATATATAAATATATATATATATATCCCTGTCCTTCTTTTCCTAACTGAGGAGCATTTTGTTGTAGACTTGGCTTTCTTCAAACTCCTATCTCATACCAGCCCATGGGGTGATTAGAATTGGACTTATTTTTTGCTTTGTCTTTTTGGGGGTTTTTTTGTTGGTGGTTTTTTGGAGTTTTGTTGGGGTTTTGTTTGTTGTTTTTTTTTAATCCTGAGAATCATTTGTTTGGGTTTAAGGAGCCAGGTAACAGTAGCAGGCAGCCCCACTGAGGATGATGAGGGGACCATGATGACCAAGTCCACAGTGTCATTCCTCAAGATCACAAAATCATAGAATATCCTGACTTGGAAGGGACTCACAAGAATCATGGACTCCAACTCCTGGCCCTGCACAGGACACCCCAAAAATCACACCATGTGCCTGAGAGTGTTGTAAAACCACTTCTGGAACTCTTGAGAGGTTTGGGGCCATGAGCAAGCTGACTGAGTTGATCCCAGCTCAAGGCAGTGCCTTTCTGGAGGGTTGTTCTGAAATCCAGTCCATGCCAAACCAGCTTCCCACAGATGTGCATCCAGAACTTCCAGAGAACAACCCCGTGCTGGTTGGGATCATGGCCCAGCAGTTTGTCAGCAGGGTTGCCAAGCCTGAGTGCATTCCCAGGCTCAATCAAACAGCCCCCAAACCTGAGCTGGCTCTCAAGGACTCTGCACTGTCCATTTAGTGATTAACATCTGTGAACTATGTCCACCCCAAAAAAGCTTGGTAGGGCTTTTGGCTTTTCACCATAGAACTCATACCAGAAGGACTTTAGGTTCTGCACAAAGCAATCCCAAAGATACACACAGAGCAAGGTTTCCCTGTAGTTTGGTGTCCCTGCTGCACTTCACCACTGTTCCTTTCTTCTCTTCCAGGTAGGCTGCAAAGCCATGATGGTTTTCTTCCAGTACTGTGTCATGGCCAACTTCTTCTGGCTGCTGGTGGAGGGGCTGTACCTTCACACCCTGCTGGTCATCTCCTTCTTTTCAGAGAGGAAGTACTTCTGGTGGTACATCCTGATCGGCTGGGGTACGCATCCTCTCCAGACTGAGGGCCAGCAGGACATCCTGCCTGGCATTTTTAGTCCAGAAACCTGGGGACTCAGATGGGGCAGAGGTGTATTAGACAGTCCTGAGAAGGGCTTGGGGGTGCTGGTGGATGAGAGGCTGGACACGAGCTGGGGATGTGCCCTGACAGCCCAGAAACCAACCGTGTGCTGGGATGCATCAAAGGGATCGTGACCAGCAGGTTGAGGGAGGGGGTTCTGCCCCTCTGTCCTGCTGTGCTGAGACCCCAACTGCAGTGTCCAGCTGTGTCCAGCTCTGAGACCCACAACATAAGGAGGACATGGATCTACTGGAGCAGGTCCAGAGGATGCCAAGGAGATGCTCTGAGGTCTGGAGCCCCTCTGCTCTGGAGCCAGGCTGGGAGAGCTGGGGGTGTTCAACTAGGAAGGAATTCTTCCCTGTGAGGGTGGTGAGGCCCTAGCACAGGATGCCCAGAGAAGCTGTGGCTGCCCCATGCCTGGAAGTGTCCAAGGCCAGGTTGAACGGGGCTTGGAGCAACCTGGGCTAGTGGGAGATGTCCTGCCCATGGCAGTGGGTTGGAACTGGATCTTAAAGGTCCTTTCCAACCCAAACCATTCCAGGATCCTGGATGTGTTACTTTGCTGCCAAGGATTTCGTGCAGCCAGCAGCGAGATCAAGGGATGTCCAGAGGGTTTGCCCCAATTTCATTAACCTAAATCTTCAAAGGTATTTAAGGACTCAGTTTGTTCTGGGTAAACTGGTAGTTGAGCTCTTCAGTCTCCTTAAGGACTGTGGGCTTGAAACTCCTCATCACCTTTATAATCATTCAGTGTTTTGATCCTGACTGGAATTCCAAAGTTGATACCATGCAGTGAGCTTAAATTGTAAGGATGGATCCCAGCAAAGCAGAACTCCTGGACTGAACCAGACTCTGCAGCCCATCACTCCCTCTGTGTTTTGCTGAATTCAGGCCAGACAGCTATCCTGGGATTCCCATCACCTGAGTGCCAATGCTGATAACCCTCTGCTTCCTGCATTTAGGATTTCTCCAGCTTTAATGCAAATGTAATGCATTAAATGCAATTCTCCAGCATTAATGAAAAAAATCTGGTCTAAAAACAAAAATAAAATTATTAAAAGATAAAATAAAATGAAATAAAATAAAATGAAATAAAATAAAATAAAATAAAATAAAATAAAATAAAATAAAATAAAATAAAATAAAATAGTGAAATAAAATAAAGAAATAAAAGGATTCTGTGAAATAGAATAAAATGCAATGAGAAAATGCCAAGGAAGACAGAATTAAGCTCTTCACAAAGCAACTCACAACTGAATTGTTAACCTGTGCAAATTAATCCTACCAGATCAACTTCTTTTCTTTCTCCAGAAAGAAATCAGAGATCTTATTTTCCCCTTAATGCCATTTGGTTGAAGATTTATGTTTAAGTAAGCAAATAGCTTTCTACTGAATGCTCTCAACAGCTAAAACTGCAAAATAATGAGAGCATGGAAGAAGCCTGAAAAGATAAAATAAAATTGTGCCATGTCCAGGGATACATCTGGACTCAGGATTTGATCAATCAGCCATGGAGTAACTTCCATTGGAAGTGACAGGAGTTATGCTTGGGTTCACACCACAAAAGAGGGACAGTTCTCTGTGCTGGAAGCACAGGAAGGGATGACATTGGCAGGTCTTGATTTAGATGCAGTTAATCAGGTCAGACCTTCTTTAAACCTGCCTTGTGCATAGATATCCTTTGTTTCGACACCTTGGAGCTGCAGATCTTAAAGAAAAATGAATTAAAGTAATGATTTTAAATCAAAGATAATTTCTTTGACTTGTAATGTATTCTGAGGTTGCTTGAGTGAAGAAGGGCAATTCCAGGAAATGGCTTGAGGGATCTTTTGGTCTTTTAGTCATCCATCACTTGCAAGAGCATCAGTGATGGATCTGAAGTGGATTATGCATGAATTAATAATTTGGATGCACTAATTACAGTTCTCAGTGGGTTTATTACCATTGCACTCAGAAATCACTGGTGATAAACTATACACAAACTGTGAGTGACACAGAGCAAAGTGACATGTCCTTCCCAAAGTATTTCCAACCTAAATCTAGTCCAAGACAAGAGACAGGGTAAAGAGGGACCACAGTGATGGAGCAAGACCACCTTAGTCCTGCAGAAGATCATGGAGTGAGGAGCAGAGACAGGTTCACCTGGCCAGCTACAGACACCTACATGTGAACTTGTCACTCCAGGCTCCCTTTATGGTCAGTGGAAGTCCAGGCAAAACAGTCTAGGGATAATCCATATTTCTTGTCCTAAAGCTCAGTGACCTGTGTGTTAGAAGCACGTATTTCTCCCCGTTGATGCTGCAGAGAGCTTGTGGTGACTGCCTTGGCTGCAAGTGTCCACACTGTAAATGCCTGGAGTGATCCCTATTCCTTGCCTTTCACAATCTGAAGTCCTTTTTTAGGCATTGCAACAGGAATTTAACTGCTGGGGAGCAGTTCCAGGAAACTCGTCTCACGTGGCCAGTGGGAGAGGAAGGCAACACGTTGGCCTGTTTGGCCTGTGAGCATTAAAAAGGTGGAGCATTTGCCCAGTCCTGAGGGAAGGCATCACCTCAGGAGAGATGGAGAGTGAGGGAGAACAGCCCTGAGGACCCTGATGATGATTTCTGACAGTGACACCATCTCTTTTCTCTTGCCAGGTGCCCCCTCCGTGTTCATCACCGCTTGGACCATTGTCAGGATTTACTTTTTCGATGTTGGGTAAGCCTGTGGACTCAACTGTCTTTCCTTTATTATTCTTCCTCCCTTCATCTCCCAGGAAAGCCCTGCAGCTTTAGTAACCCACAATCCCAGCAGCCAGAGCAGAGCAGAGGGTCTCCCCTGCCACCACGAGCCAAGAAATGCTCCAAGATCTCCCTGAAGACACATGTTTTATGTCAGCTTAGGCCAGTCCCTCAGCCTCTTTGCTTCCCAGTCCCCTGGTCAGGATATTTGCAGGGAATCTGTGAGCAGACCCTGATGTTTTCATTTGGCCCAGCTGCAGATGTCAACATGATAAAGTAAAATGAGCCCTACCAGAAATTTTCATTGCTCAGAGCAGAGCTCTGCATCCTGCAAAAATGATCCTATATCTGCTCATGAAGCAGGTGCTCAACAAACACACCTTTTACCTCTCACACAGAAAAGTCTAAAACTTCTTTTTTTTTTTCTTTTCCCAAGCAGATTTTAGGAGCTACTCTTCATTCTCTTTAACCTTGCAGCAGCCTTTGATATTTTATATAAGAAACAGATAGAACACAGCTAAGAAAATGAGGCAGATAGCAGAGTTATCCAAGGATATATGAAAGTAAAATGCATTTGATTCTGCAATCTTCCTTCTTGCTTTTATTCAAGCAGTCAAGAGCTACAGTAATTGGAAAGGTTTTTAGGGGAAAACACTCCAGAGAGTTAGGGAATCGGGTGCTTATTCTGCCCTCACTGTGCATGCCCTCACTTCTTGCATTTGCATCCTATAGTTAATTCCATTTTCTCCCTCTCCAAGTGTGTCCTGATTCGCCCTCATTTCGGTTGGAGAAGGATTTCTCATTGCTTTTTTGATTTATAGTCATGCTCACACATTTCCTGAGGGCCACTCACTTCCTTTGTGCTTTCACTCTCTCTGCATAAAACTGACCTTATTTCCTCTGTTAATAAATAGCCTCTACAATGAGATAGAGACAGGAGGATTTAACCATTCTGGGTACCAATTCTTCCTACTATATGTTCCCACTCAGCTCCAGCAATTCTTATAAAAATACAGACTTCTTTGCATTTTCTGGAGGCTTTAAAGCTCTACGTTTTTGTGCCAAGAAAAACAATGTGAATTAACAGGATATGCTAATACCTAACATAGATTATTCTTTCAATACTAAAGTTACCTACAGAGAAAAATTACAGGAAATTAATCCAGATGAAATAAACTAATTATGTAAGATCAGTTAAACAACCTTAAGCCTCCATTTAAACATTCTAACTCCAAATTAAAATGACCTTCATTCAGACTGTCTGAATTTGTTTTAAAAATGAAGTGCACTAGACATAATTAGGGCCACTTTAATTCTAAATGAGAGGGCAGAAGGCACCTGACTGGCAGCATCTGTGTGTGAGCAATTTGCTCCATCTCCTTTTGGAATTAGTGGAGATTTAGTCAGTGCAGTCCATGGAGTGCAATTTTTTTCATTCTAAAGTTGCTGCCCAAAATAGGACTCAGAACTGTGCCCTAAAAATACCTCTGCTTATCTGCTATTGCCTGCACTGTCAACATCCTGAATTAGATGAGCTGAATCCAGGTGGAATTGTCTCCAGCAGGCTCCACTGATCTGTTTCTAACATGAATGCAGCCCAGTTTTCATGAATGCTTTCCTAAAAATGCACCTTCCATCACCTGACCGAGGTCTGCAGATAAATGTGTCCCAAGCAATATTAGTCATTTCCACATCATTCCTCTCCTGTCCTTTCTTTGTTGGCTTTAAAACACAGTTCCAAGTGAGTGGAGTTGTGTGCAGACAGTTCTGACTTGGGGATGAAATAAATCCCATCCTGGACCCAATGGACTTTTCCAAGTAGATCCATAGCTCAGGTGCAGATGGATTTAGTGGGACTAATCCCACCACTGGCTGTTATCTTTTTCGGAAGGACGTGGTTGGTTTTGTTTCTGATGGTGCCAGTTGCTCTCTGAAGATGCTCCACCATCATCCAGGGGGGTGGAGAGCACTGGAGACCTGATGGATCTGTGGGTTTGGCAGCATTTCCTTGGAGCAGAGCTCAGTATAGGAGAAATTCAGGAGATCACGATCCTCTCCCACATTCACCCTGCAGAACATCTTCCAGCCTATTCCATTTCCAAGGGGAAAAGAGCTCTCAGGATTGTGTCTGGGGCAACTGGTGCCTGCCAGTGCTCAGAGCCTCTGCAAAGCAAGTCTTTGGCCATTCCCAGTTCATGCACACAAGGTTTAGTCCTAATAATCCAGCCTAGATATCCTTTGCTTTTAGGAAAACCTAAGAGGTTCCACATCTTGCTTTCTGTGCTTGAAGTTTTAAGTCTTGTTTTGTTTCTTTTTAGGTGCTGGGAGGAAATAGTGGAATCCCCATTCTGGTGGATCATTAAAACCCCTATTTTGGTGTCTATCTTGGTAAAGTATCAGCACATTCTGCTGGCTGCAAAGCCATCTTTAGTCCTAAGTGGGGGGGGTGAAGGGGTGTTGAGAAGTGTTCTGTAAGTGTCCATGGAAGATGCACTGGCAGGAAAAATCCCACTGTATGTTGAACATCTGTCTGAGGATGAGGAAAAACCCTCCAGCTTGTGTGATTTCCAGAAAAATCAACAGAAGTGTCTGATTTTAATTCTCTGGATATGATCAGTTCTGACCACAGAAACCAGGACACTTCTGAGGAACTCAGTCCTCACATCCCTGTTGAACATTATGTGTTTCAAGCCAAGCCTTAAAATCAAATGAACTTGAGTTAAACTTAGCTCTGAGTTTTCTTAAATGAAGGCAAGGACGTGTGAAGGGAATACAAAAAAAAAATGCAACAGAAATCAGACCAAATATATTTCTTTTAGACAGAAATCTTTCCTTAGAACATACATTCTTATTCCACGTACGTCATGACCTTTACAAGAAGGTTTTTTTTCTGTAGCATTTGTCATGCAGGGATTCAAAACCACAACAATTTGAATAATGACATTTTACTCTGTTTACCTCACTGAAAAGAAATACAGTACTTAGATGACACATCTCAAAATATTTATGTCATCATAGAAAGCTGCAGATAGTACTTTCCCTTTCCTGAGATAAGCTTTCAGTCAAAAAATACACCCTATTATTCTCTTTGGATCAATGAGTCTGTATTTGCTTTTGGCCAGTAAATCATTTCCTCGTTGCCAAACAAAGTTTACCCAGCAGTTCCTGATTTTGCTTTGGCAGATATCCCCTGAATCTGTCCCAGGGGAAGGGCATGATAACCACCAGCTGATGAACAGCAGGTTTCTTCAGGGAGTAATGCAACATTTGCTCCATATCCACGGGAAAAAGGTGTATATCTCAATGTAAGGAAGAAATGCATATACAAGATATACAAAATCTTAAGGATACATAAGATATCTCTTATGTACAACGTCAAGTGCCTCTGATTAGGTTGAAAAAATAAATTAAACAACTTCTCCAGTATCCTGATATCCATGGAATGCTAAGGTTATATTTCCCAGTCCACTCCAAACCAGCACTGCCAGTATTTAATGCTCCATTCCTACCTTCATTTCTGCATCTTGTGTGCTATCAATGCTCATTAGTGTAATTGATCTAGATAACAATGTTTTGAACTAATAAATTTTACTTGCCACCAAGTCAGACACAAACCATTTCCACGAGCAAATAAATACAAGCAGAAACCAAGATAAATGGCTCAGGATAGATAAAAAGTGATTAAGCAATGCATCCAAGAAATACCATTAATTTCCAATTACTCATAGCCTTTGAAAGAAGAGTGAGTGTCTAATTGAGAGATGTGCTTCAGTCTATTTTATTCACCTTATTGCTGAGATAAATGTAGGAATTGCTGGAGGAAATGTTACAATATGTTTTTGCAGGAAGTCCAATTGGCTGGTTAACACAATCCCTTCCAGCTGCTGAGCCTCTGAAAATCAGAGCCATTTGTGCATTCAGTTTATCCATGAAAGGATAAAGAGAGAGGTTGTGGCCACACTAAAACCAAGTCCCCAGGAATCTGTCACTGCTTTTCTATTTTCTGTGTTGCATGAATAACAGGATGATTCGATGGATAAGACCTTACAAGCAAATAGAGTTGCATTCAGTCCATGCCATCTACAGCATTCCATTGGGAAAATGCCATTCCTAGCTCTACACCTTTGATAATAAGGGAGGTTAACATTGCTTGAGTGTGTTGGTGGAGCACTTTGAGATCTTTTGAGTGAAAAGAACCATTTAAAATTCAGGGGGCAGCTCCCAGTCTAACGTCCTAGGAGGGAACGTTTCCCGTTGTGTCCACGAGGTCTATCCCTTGCCATGCAAGTTCTCCAGCCTCTCCCAGGGAGGCCATGGCCAGTAGCACTGAGTAGAGTTGGGGTGGGTACTGCTCTGTGTTTTGTTTTGGTCTCCTTGGCTCAGTCTCTGACGTGCTCAGCAGCCGGTCCCATGTCAGCGTCTCCCGAGGGCTCATCCGTCGCTCGGCTCATTCCCAAGGCTCTTTTCCCACCCCGGCGCCGGCAGGACGTCGTGCATAGCTGTGCTCTATGGGCTTGACATCATCATACTTGGGATGTATGACACGAAGTCCCAAGCAGGCTGATGTCAGGCCCAAGATGCCATCCTGTGTCCGTTTACTTTGGGCTCTCTGCTCATGGCTGCTTAACCACAGCTTGTTCCATGGCAAAAACATGGCAGTGGAAGGAATTCCCCTCTAATGATGGGCTCTGTTCACCAGGGAAAAATAACTAATGTTTTGCCTCTCTCTCTCTTCTGTGTTCCCTTTCTTCCCATCCTGGCAGGTGAACTTCATCCTCTTCATCTGCATCATCCGCATCTTGGTCCAGAAGTTGCATTCCCCGGACGTTGGACACAATGAAACCAGCCAATATTCGTAAGTCCTGGACTTCTTCTGCCATATTCTTTGCTTTTTGGGAAACCTGTTTGGCCTTTAGTTCATTACTGCATCACTATTCACTGTGTTCACTGTTGTCTCTGTCTGCACTGATCAGAATCAATTAATTGTTACTTGATCAAAGCTGATCAGAAATCAGGAAATGGAGCGTTTCCTAAAACAGCCGGACAGGTTTGATGTCAGTTTGAGGCAGGTGAAAAGACCTTCTCCTGGGATTAATGATGAAGAAGTGAGAGCAAGAATAATGATCATGAGGCAAAAAAAGTTCTTTCTTTGCATCTTTAATATTTAGTGGATTCTGAAGGCAGAGGAACCCCGAGGGACAACCAAGAGTTGCTGTACACAGTGTATGGGCTTTTTTTTTCCTGACTCTCAGGTCCCTTTTTCAAAGAAGGAGAGATCTAGAAAATTAATCCATTCAGTAGAATCTGTGGCAGATTTTCCTTATCCCAAAGCAGACCTCTAACCTAAATTGGATTATTTCAATGCATTTCTCTTCAGTGTTTAGAAGGATCACTGCCTCAGATTTGCTTGACTTAATGCTTTTATTCCAGGGATATAAAGTTGACCTTAATGGGGATTTTTATCATGAACAACACACCAGTGAGATCAACATCTGTCTCAGTGGCCAAGACTGGTCTTAGCTGTAGAATTATAAGAGTGAAGAAAATGTCCATTTATATGGATTTGTTCTGGCCTCAATGCAAATAAAATAAAAGTTCAGACCAGCTTATTTTTGACTCTTGCCACTGTCCTGGTTCAGCTTTTCAACTATCCTGGATATTTATTAAATGTTTCCTCGAAGAGAACTAAAATGAAAAAGGTCCTGTATCTACATGGTCACTGCTCATAAACCTTTGTCTTCGTCTGGAGCTGCACTTTGGGGTACCCTGAAGAATCTGAGCTCAGTTCAACTTTCTGCAAGATGGAAAACAATAACAGTCTGTTCCTTAAACATTGCTCAGCCATGACACTGAGCCTGTCTCTAGTGATGGTAAATTATTCATTTCATCTGCCTCGAGAGATTCTCAGATTTATGAAAGAAAAGGCCAGAGTTTGACCTTAACTTCTGCCTGCAGCAGCCAAAGCCAATTACCTCTGTTTTTGTCATCTCAGCACACCAATGTTACCAACCCTGTGCTTTTTATCCCCTATTTTTCTGTATTTCCAACTGGGTGTTGTACCTTTGTACCCCAGGATTGCAACAGCTCTGGCCAGGTGTGGAGATTAAATCAGCATATTGAAATATGTTCTGAGCAGCATCCTGGAGCTGTTGGCTCCTGTTCCCCCTCAGCAGAAGTGTTGCCAACACGCACTGAAAGGGTTATGCCCAGATTACCTCAGAGGTCATGCTGAGCTTTGGGTTCAGGGCACGTTTTCCAGTGAAGTGGGAAATGAAATTTTCCTGGGAGCTGCCAGGAAAGCTCTTTTTGCCTTGTAAACAAACGTGGCACAGCAGTAAAGCACAGACTTCCCCTCGCTGACCTGCCCAACGGGAGGTGCTGCTGAAGTACAACTGAGCTCCACATCTGCAGCTCCTCACCTTCCTTCTCCACCTGGAAAGACATCTCAGTGCCATCAGGGAATGAATCAGTTGCTCACTTCATAGGATCACAGAACCACAGAATGGTTTTGGGTTGGAAGGGACTGTAAAATCATCCAGTTCCAACCCCTGCCATGGGCAGGGACACCTTCCACTAGACCAGGTTGCTCAGAGCTCCATCCAACCTGACCTTAAACTTTTATGCGTCCAAGACATATGAGGTGCTTTAAGACACTTCAGATACTTTCTTGGACGTAGAACCCAGGACCTGTGGGAAAATTTTACCCTTACACAGAGGCATCTGGCCACCAGCCACGTCCTCTGGGACATCTGGAAGTCTCTGTCAACTGTACTGAGAGCTGAAGGACATGAGGCAACACACTTTCCTATGGAAGGAAGTGTTAAGTGTCTCATCTTGAAGGCTGGAACCTGGCAAGGGGAGTTCTCAGTGTGGTCCTAAGTTTTCAATGTTTAGACATCAACCTGTAGAGACTTCTGGGGTTCTACCTGCAGGACTCAAGAGATCTTAGCAAAAACTGCTGCTAATGAAACACTGAGGGAGCTGGGGGGGCTCAGCCTGGAGAAAAGGAGGTTCAGGGGGGACCTTCTGGCTCTGCAACTCCCTGACAGGAGGGGGGAGCCGGAGGGTGTCGGGCTCTGTTCCCGGGGAACAAGGGACAGGAGGAGAGGGAACGGCCTCCAGCTGTGCCAGAGGAGGTTCAGGTTGGACATCAGGAAGAATTTCTTCACTGAAAGGGTGGTCAGGCATTGGCAGGGGCTGTCCAGGGAGGTGGTGGAGTCCCCACCTCTGGAGGTGTCCAGGGAAGGATTGGACATGGCACTCAGTGCTCTGGGCTGGGGGACAAGGTGGGCATCAGGCACAGGGTGGACTTGATGACCTTGGAGGGCTTTTCCAACCTCAGTGATTCTGTGATTCTGTTTGGGTTCCTCCTGCCAAGTCTGATATAAATCTGTTTTAGACTAACAGCATCCTGGATGTCTCATTTGCATTCTCCCTCCTTCTCTTGTTTATTTTATACTGTTTATTTTCTAAAAACACGCTGACATGTTGACAAGCACTGTTCAAACTCCGAGCGGTTTCAGTGTAGCTGCAGGCTGGAAGTTCAGGTGCACTGCTGACTCACTCATTAATGCTCCAGACAGGGAACTGGGCTTTCATGTATTGGGAACTGTGAAAACAAAGCTCCCAAAACAGTTTTCTGGAAATGACAGGGACACGTGCGATAGTGGGACAGCAAAATTTCAGGCAAAGAGATTTTGTTTTCTACAACAGGAAACTTGAGTAAAATTCATCTCTTTCTATTCTTTACGTGCTCATAGATCAGTATTGTCATCAAAGTTTTCCATGATAATTTCAAGGAGCATTATTAAACTGTCCCAATTCCCACTCCCAAGGAGAGGAGTAGGTTCCATGCAGGCTGATGGACACGTGTTTTCCCTAAATTACCTGTCACCATGTACATCTGTCAGAGAGGCTGGGTCTAAGATGTTCTGGGAATGAGAGTTACAAGTTTTTTGAGAATCCATGGCTTCCAGCAGGGAGATTTTACACAGCCTCCCAAGAAGTTCTGCCTCCTGCACATCCAGGCTTTTTCTTCCTGGGAGAAATTACACCCTGACTGGGGAAGATGATTTTCCTCTTTGCAGTGTTTAGTGGGGGGAATCTTTTAACTATCACAGTGCTGGACCACAGAGCCCTTGCCCTGATGCCACACTGAGATCTGAAACATCACTCAGTGTCTGGGGAAGGAAGTGGCTGGTTTGGGGGGTTGTGCAAATTAGAGGAGGGGACTCAGCTTTTGGCATTTATGTCCTTTTCATTGCCACAGTGCATCCAGGAGGGAAAATATTGTAACTGAGGCCCCAGTGTTGTCTGCAAAGATAAGATCAATTTTTCTAATCCCCTGGAGGTTGAAAACAGCATTTCTGTGAATATGGTACACAAAGGTAGGGTCTCATCATCTCCAGGTTTACTGTTCCTCAGAGGTTGGGGATGGAGGAGAGATCTCTGCAAATCCAAAAGAAATATTCACTGAACTGTGATCTGCTAAGAAAATGAGTTGCTTTCTCATATATCTGGAGCTGGGAGCATTAGGGCTTGGTCATACTGGTGTGGGTCATACTGGCCAGACCTGCTTCTGAGAGTGAGGAACATGGAACACTGATGGTCACCAAAGACAGTGACAGTGCTCTGGCAGAGCAAGACATCCAAGAGAACTCAGATTTTGGATCTCCTCCCCATGAGCAGGGATGTGCCTGCTGGTGAGGGATGTGGGAAAGGCAAATTCCTGGGAGTCCCTCAGCTTCCTACAGGCACTGATTTTGCCTGGAATGAGTTGCACCCAGGTGTCTTTCAGCCAGCAGGTATTCCCTGGGGAGCCATGGCCTCCAAAACCAGCCCTAATGTCGAGCTGCCTTTGGGCCAGGCCCAGGGAAAGCTGAAAAGGTCTGCTGGGAGATACAGGGATGAGCATCACCTGCACAAAGCTGGCATCAGCCAGCTGACATCAGCCCTCCCAGTGGGCTGGTGCAGATGGCAAATAAATGAAGATGCTCTGAGAGGACTGAGCCTGATGAGGCTTTGGAGGTGAAGGATTTGCAGGTGGAAGAACAAGTATTTCCAGCATCCTCTCCTCAGCTTCATTTCCTCCAGAAGCCTCTGAGAGATGGAGGTGCCACAGGATGTGGTTGACCAGGGGAGCCAAAACCCCCACAAGCATCCTTAGGCTCTTGATTTCATTTCATTTCTGTCAACTATTTTTTAATAACAATTATATTTAATAAATTATCATTTCTTCCTAATTAGGCCTCTGATTACCCAGCCTGATGCCATTAAGCACTAATACTGTTCATCCCCCTCCTTTGGAGACATTCTTTGTGCAATATCCTGTCATTATTCCCAGCTAAACATACCATTTCTCTCCCAGAAGCTGTAATTTTCAGCAATCTCCCAAGCAAACAAAGACAGTGCTAGATGATGATTTAGCTGGTAGAGATGAAAAAAAGCTCTCTGGTGGGAGGGGAAGAAGAGAGAAGGGAGAAAGAAATACCTCCAGTGGAGCCACTAGGAATAAAGATGTCACATTTTATGGTGTCACCACGTCTGAAATCAGCAGCCGTCTGCAGTCTGAGGAACAAGGAGAAATAATGTAGGGCTGATTGCTCTGCCTTGGCTGGAGACATGGATATAATTACATGGGAGCTGTTAACGAGCAGGAAGTGCTCCCAGCATGGTCCTGGGTTAGTCTGAGGTGCCACACAGTGCCTGTGCCCAGCTGAGGGTCCACCCCCCTGTGTCACTGCATCCCAGCCCGGGTGGGCAGAGGGATCCTGGGGAGGTTGAGCCAGGAGTGGCATCTCCACACCCACTGTTTTGCTGTACCCCAGACACTCCATCCCCCTGGCTGAGGGCAACCTCCTGATGCTCCCTTGCTCAAGGCTGGATGTTCCCTGGACCCCAGGATGAGTGTCCAATATCACACAGCAAACAAATTCAATGCAGCAAATTCAATGTTCAGGGTTGCACAAGGCTCAGGGCTGTGGGATTTCTCATCCTCTTACCCTTCAGCTCCTCTTCCCTCTCCCCTTCTGACTCGTGTTTGTCTTTCCAACAGGAGGCTGGCCAAGTCCACCTTGCTGCTGATCCCTCTCTTTGGCATTCACTACATCATGTTTGCTTTCTTCCCTGACAATTTCAAGGCAGAAGTTAAGCTGGTCTTTGAGCTCGTGGTCGGGTCGTTCCAGGTAAGCCACCCTTTGGGCCACCACTCAGCCACCAGGTCTGTCAGGAGGGAGAAGTGTAATGACCTTTGGGGAAAAAGCTCCTCACTCCAGCATGGCCAGCATGGGAGACAAATTTATATTTTGCCTCCTGCAATTCCAGAAGGAGATTCTTCCTCCTCGGTTTAGGCACCTGGAAAGAAAATGTACATCTGTACATTAGTCACCCTGGGGGTTTATGTGCTCAAGGGAAAAAAAAAAGTGAGCATCATAGGTCAGTTTATATATTATTGACATGTTCCAGGTTGGAGGGGACTTGGAGCACCTGAGTCTTGTGGAAGGTTGTCCTTGTCCATCTCATGGGGTGTGGAACTAGATGACTTTCAAGATCCCTTCCAACCCAAACCATTCCATGATTCCATAGTGCAAGATGAGACAAATGGCCTTTGGTGGGAGTGTCTGGTCAGACAGACCAGGAGCCTGGTCTGTCTTCAGCCACTTGACTTGAATGAACTTTCTCCTCTCTTCACAAGTCAAGTGCTGCCTGTAGCTCCTGCTCAAGCAGGATTCCAGCTCATTGGTGCAGGAGGCAGCTTCCCCACGAGGATGGATGATGGGGCTGCCCTCCACATTAGTCCTGATGGAGTTTGGTTCTTAGACCCTCCCGCTTCAGTCAGTGTTGGGCCGTTAAACTTGCCCCTGAGGCTGCATGAAAAGAAGCCCTTATTTAAGTGTTTCATCCCATTGCTTCTGACCATTGTCAGTCCCAGCCACGTTCTCACAGCCTGGGAGACGGGTCTGGCTGTCCCCATGTCCCATGCACATTTCAGGGGCAAGTTTTATTCAGTGGTGGCTGAGTTAACATCACTGTCTACAACATCATCACTTCACATCTGGCATCTGGAAGTGCTCAAAAAACATCCAGATGTGGCAGCTGGGGACATGGGTTAGTGGTGAAGATGGCACTGTTGGACTTGATGATCTTAGAGGTCTTTTCCATCCTGATTCCATGATCCCTCCTTTGAGATCATTGTGTTTAGTGCTGAAAGCCTGTTCTCTCCTTTCCCCCAGGGATTTGTGGTGGCTGTTCTGTACTGTTTTCTCAACGGAGAGGTAAGATCAGCAGTGTTGTTTGGTTCATGTTTGCCAGCTAAGTGGGTTGAGTGTCCCATTCCTGATGTTACCATACCGGTGGGAAGCATCCAAGTCAAATCTCTCACTCCAGAAAAATAGTTCAACCACTTTCCTGACAGTTTTCAGCACAATTAATAAATATGTCAGGGCTTTTGTGTGCACTGTGTGCATCACTGCTGCTGAGTCCACCCTTTACTCACGAGACAGCACCAGCAGAACCTTGCACAAACCCTGATCCCAAAGGCCCACCTTCAGCAGGGAAGGATAAATCCCATCTTAAGCCCTGCCAAGTGCCTTAGTGAATCCTCTGCAGGACCAGGCCCGCTGCTGGGATGGAGGCTCATTAGTGCAGTGATATTTTTGTATCATCCCCCACCTGCCCATTAGAAGTTCAGCTGATTAAGCCCATGTTGCAAAGGCTCCCAAGTAGGTGTGAGCAGCTACAGACTGGGAGCTGCTGTCATCTGGAGCACTTCCAGCCCAATAAACAGAGCACGGACAAGAAAGAAGCAGCTGTGAGCTGGATTTGTGCTGCAGCTTCCTAGGGGAGAGGAAGAGTGTCCAGAATCCCAATTTTCTCTCTCACAGCTCCAAAGCTGCATCAGCCACACTGATGCCATGTGTACATCAGGCAGAGAGCCCAGCTCCAGCAGAGACCTTTCCCAGTAATCCTGCCTGGAACAGGGCAGTACCACACAAGCTTGCTGATGATCCAAAACCAATACAGGCACTGACATGACTTGTTGGGCGCAGCAGTGCCAGGTAAACATGTTTTTACCTTGCAGGCACTGATCTTGCCTTTCCCATATTTCGACTCCTGGGATTCTCATCCTGGTATTGTGCTGTTGCTGTGCTTGCTCATCCCAGAGCCCCTCAGACACAGCTGTTTTATCTAATTCATACTGTTATCTAAACATTTGGGCTGGAAGGCTGCAGGAGGGGACAGGGACAGTGGCCAGACTTGTTCAGAATTTTAATCTGGACAGTGTAAACCAGATAATTTCAGTGAACTCCCCAAGCAGGAACCAGTAGCTTCTGTCAAAAAAATGCACAGCTTTACAAACAAGCTGTAGTTGAATCATTTCTATTTGGACCAAAAACAGGGCAGTGAAAAAAAAAAATCTTAATTATTAAGATTAATTAATTACTCACAAAATGTAGAGTATGTTGAAGCTGAAGTTAACTATTCTGGCACCTTCGCTTTATGAATAAGAAATTCCCTGTGCTCACCTTTCTGCTGGAGCTCAGGGATTTCTGCTGTCTGGGGTGTCCCCTCTCTTCTATGTGGCTAAAAGTCCAGGCCAAGCTGAGTTTAGTGACCTTTATAAAATAATTCTTGGCCCCTTGGTGGGTGGGTCGCCCATGGCTGCTCACACAACGAAATCAGAGCGACAGCAAGTGATTTTCTTGTCTCTCCAACGCCCAGGTCCAAGCTGAGCTCAAAAGGAAGTGGCGGAGGTGGCACCTGGAGAGGTTCCTGGGCTCGGACATGAAGTACCACCACCCTTCCTTGGGCAGCAACGGCACCAACTTCAGCACCCAGATCTCCATGTTGACCAAGTGCTCGCCAAAGACTCGCCGGTGCTCCGGCTTCCAGGCCGAATTCTCCCTGGTGTGATGGGGAGGGGCTCTCCCAGCAGGGAGCATCCAAAAGAGACACTGAGAGAGTGAGGGATCCCCAGGAACCAGCGCTGACAAATCCCTGTGACATGACGTGCTCCACGTGAGCCAACAGAGGACACACAACTGGAAAAGCCACCGGCATCCAGGACAGGACCGGACAGGCCGAGAGGCAGAGAAATGCTTTTCCTCTCCCTCTTTTCAGACCTTTCACTCCTCAGTTTCAAGCCCTCGGGGGTTGATAACTATGAGTAAAGGTCCCAGTCGCTTGAGGAAAGCCTGGGGGATGCTGTGTCATAAATGATGAAGTACAGGGGAGGAAGGGAGGGGAGAGCCCGAGTCCTCGGGGGCTTTACCGGAACCGGCGTCTCTGAAACAGATAAATTGCACTTTTTTTAAAAAAGAAATGAGCCAGTAAAGGAGAGAGGGATGCAAGAAGCAGGAAAAAAAAAATGCCAAACGTATGAATGTGCCAAAATTCCTGTGGATAAGAGGTGATGATAAGGCATCAAAGATGGAGTCGGGGACACGGGGAGAAGGGACAGGAGGAACATGAGCAAGAAGGGAGAGGCCAGTGCATGACCCCTGTGTTTTACACAGGTGAAGATGAAGCTGCAGCACCAGGAAAGCCCCTCAGAGGATGCCCCAGGGCTGCAGTGTGTGCTGCTAATAACCCACTGTCCTCATTAACAAAAGCTTTCCAGGCATCCTGGTGCTCTCTGGAAAAGCAGGTCGCTGAGAAGGAACAGCATGAGAATTCCCTTCTCTGCACCGAGTTCAGGACGTGGTGTTTGTTTTGGTTGTGTTCAATGACCAGGAAACTCGGTTTGCATGCATAAAAACCAGGTACAGAGGCCAAAAGCAGAGCATGGCTGTGTTTTTCCTTCAAGTTCTCCCGTAGATCTTGGTGCCTTAATGCACCAGGGATCATGAGGGATCAGGGGAAAATAATTGGGGTGTAATTCATTTGCACTTGCTTAGCACACACTGCCAGGAAAGGGAGATGTAGAACCCTGTAATCACTAATTGAAGCAGACCTGCAGTGAGGAGCCACTCTCCAGATGAAAAAAAATTAGTGTCACAGCAGTGAGGAAAATTGCTTTCATCAGGACAAGGTACTCTCAGCACAGAACTGGCACTGCAGGAGTGAGGAAGGACTGAAGGGGCTATTAAATTGATTTCTTCTTCAGCTTTTGTGGGAAGCTTTCATCCTCTGATGAAGGCATTGTTAGATCTTTGAGATGTGTGTGTGCATTTTGCCTCTTTTTTGAAGGCCTATTAGTTTTCATCTAGGGGCAATCCCTATTTGAGGAATGCACATGGATCCCATTAAAACCAAGGGAATAGTCATGTTTTCTTTTTCTTCTTTTCTTGGTGGAGGGGCAAAGGAGAGGTGTGAAACCCAGTCCTGCTCAAGCACTGCATTTGAGACAATCCCCACACTCCCAAACTCAGTCAGAAGACAGAAAATAAAAGGATACAGATGTTTGGTCCCACACAAACGGGGTTGCACCAGTTTTACACCGAGGGTGGGAAATTCCTGCTCAGCTCATGTGTACACTCAGTAATTGGGCTGCTCTCATCCTACTCTGACACGTCCTCGAGAAGGAGAGTCTGGGCCACCAACACACAAACCTGGAAAGGAAGGTGGGCACCTCCTTCAGAGTTCAGAGATCTCAACTTGCCTACCAGGTGCTAACTAACAGCACCTGGACTTTTACTGCTCCATGATTTAATGTAGTTCATTGGAGGGAAGCATCTTTAACTTGCTGGGTTTGGGGTTGCTTTGCTGGTTTCTTTGCCTGCCTGAAGCCTCTGTGATTCACTGCCAGCCACCCACGCTGAGCCCAGGGGGAGACTCACAGACCAAGGACATCCAGTTCCTCCCTCAGTTCTGAGAGGGCAGTGTTCCATGCCAAAACCATTCCCAGAGCTATACCTTTTACCATACTCCATAAGTATCTCTCCATATGTAGCCCTGTGAACAGCGTGGAGAGCTGAAGACAGTGAGGGGAATAAAGAACCCTGTGAAGGGCAGATGTGCAAGTCCTGAGTTTCCAGTGAGCTAACTCAGACCTCAGCATAGTGTAGCCATGGCTACCAAGCCTGCAAAACCTGGGAGGATAAGTAGATGTTGTGAAGATCCCTGGAGTTCAAGTGCTGGTGACCCCAGGCCAGCCAGGTGTGAGGAGCCACGTTACTCTGAGGCCATGCCAGCAGTGAGAATCCAGCACTGGCGTGCCATAAGGTCATCAGGATGCTCTCTGAGTAGCTCTCTGATTCCCAAAATGCAGAGAAAGCAAGAGGATGCTTAAAATTTCCCCACATTTCTTGCACTGAACACCTTGGAAACAATATCCCATTTAAATCCTCATGATGTTCTCAGAGGCCAGGACTCTTTTATTTTAGTGGTCACAGCACCAAGGCTGCCAGAGCTCGAGGAGTGTTTGGACAATGCTCTCAGGCTCTTGGTGTGATTTTTGGGGTTGTCCTGTGCAGGGCCAGGAGTTGGACTCAATGATCCTTGTGGGTGCCTTCCAACTCAGGATATTTTGTGATTCTCCATGTGTTTGGTGCTTGTCTGGTGAGCACTTTCAGACCTGGAGTAAGACTCACAAAGGAAATACTGGAGAAATCCCACCAGCACCACCAGTTCTTATCCTGTGCCTGCTTCGAAGCAAGGATTTGACCCAGCTCTGCATTTTGCCAAGTGAATGTCCAGCTGCAAGGAAGCCCAGAAGAAGCAAGGGAAAACTCTCTCTCAGCTTCCAAGTCGTTCCACTTGGTATAAAATGCTTTGTCTCAGTGGTTCAGAGTTTTGAAGCAGTGTCAGCCAGGGAAACATTTGATTCATTGGGCTGCAGAGTCATTCACCCTCTTAATCTGTCAGGGGAACTGTAGATGCCCAGAAAATTCCATGGGCTGCAGAGGAGCACTGCCCAATCTTGTGAATGCATCCACTGAGGTGCCTGAGGTGTGAACTGGAATCCCAGGTCCCAGACAAGCAAGAGAGGAGCCTGAGCACAGAGCTGTCAAGCAGAAGTGATGCACCATTGCCAGCAGGCTCCTCTGTGGGATGTGAGGGAATCCCTGCCCATCTGTTCTAGGCAGCCTTGCTGGGATGGCAGGTCTGTGAGCCATCAGCAGTGAGACACATTGTGCATTTTCCCTCTGTTCACCTTCCTTTTTCCTCTCCCTGTGCCTGGCACTGCACTTGCAGGAGGACTTTCTGCTTTGTGTTTTCAGCTTTGTTTCTGTTCCAGACCTGTGCTGACCTGTGCCAGCATCAACCCTGTGCCAAAGGCAGTGGGAACACGTTTGCCTTTTGGAGACACGACAGGCAAAAATCCAGCTGGTTATTTACCCATTCCACAGGGAATGTGGGAGATTCACCACCAGGCTATTCTGCACAGGAGCCTGAAGAGAGGCTGTTTCCTAAACTGAGGGGCTCCTTCAAAACAGGTGGAGAACATCAGAACAGTGCCCCAGGCATCCTACTGGCAATTATTTCAGCGCTGAACATCCAGCCACGTTGCCATTGTGCTGTCAAGGGGGTTTGAGAGATTAAATGAACGTGCTGAATATACCTGCTGTGACAGGCATGGCAATATTAGTGACACAGGCAGGGCAGAGCTGCCAGCACAGCTGCCTGGGCCTTGGATTTCAGACAAACAGTGCTGAAATCACAGCTTTTCACTCTGGGGACGTGAGCAATCCAGTGAATGATGACATTGGGATTAGGCCCTCTTTTAACTGGCTTGCTGCAGGAATTTGGCTCCATACCTTGGCCTCCCTTACTCTGTTTTTCATCCAACTCATCAACAAAATGGGAGCTCAAGGACTTCACTACAAATGACAGCCTGAGGTGTCATGTCCTGGTCCCACACAGAGCACACAAGCAAGCCCCAATCTGACCCCCCCAACTCCAGTGTAACACAGGAGGGACTCCAGTAAAGCAGCTGCATTAATTTGCTGCAAAATAATATTAATAGTCACATCTGGATATGGGACAGAGATGTTTGAGGATCATGAATTTGGACTCCAAAACTCTTTACAGAAATTTAGCCAAATTCTGATCCCACTTTTCACCAATCAGTTCACTGCAGCAACTCCTGAATTACACTTGGATTTACCTTTAAAATAATTCCTTTATCTTCAGTCTGGAACTTTTTACTCTCTTCTTACACCAGTGAGAGAGCATGCCCCTCCTGTTAATTAGTCACTCTGCATTTCAGTGATTAAATGATTAAAAATTAGTGTGGAATAATTACAATACAAACATTAAATTATGATCTCAAGGAGTAGAGGTAGGTACAAGCTTCAATACCAAGATTAGACTGTAGATATTTCTGTTCAACTGGGACCTAAAGATATTTCTATTCAGCTGGGACCTGTGTTGCTCTGTGACCTCATAAGCAGCAAGAAATGAGAATATGACCCTGTTTGGGGTTAAAAAAAAGAGGAGTAAAGAAATTCTAGGCTGCTGCAGAATTTCAGGGCATTAACTTGAAACTTTTTAAAATCAAAAAGGCCAGGAGATGAAACACTTGAATATTTTAGTTTAGTTTAGTTTGAGTTGGGTTTTTTTTTGCCTAGGAAGCAGTTATATTTTTCTCAAGGAAGGTGTTGCTGGAGAAAAGATGTTTTGTACATTAACTAATCATCAGCTTTACATCTTTCTCAATATCCCACTTGTTTCCCATTCACAAGGAATGAGACAGGGTCACATCTGTGCCCACAGCACTACATGAGCAGAGGGATTAAACCCAAATCTCTGTCCCAGTCTGATGGAAATATTTCCAGAGAGAGATACACCTGCTGATTAATGGAAGTTTACTAGTGTTTTTTAAAAAGCAAAATGAAGTTCCAAAGAAATCTCAGGAGGGAGTGAACATCATTTGGCTCCATGGCAGGGATTAAAGGGGCTTGGTGGGATTATTTTGTCTCCAGTCCTTCCACCTTCACCCCAGTGTTCAAACAAGGGAAAACCCAGTGGGTTTCTGGGGGAAATATGAAATATTTTCAGACTAAAAGGGAATCTCACCAACTGGGAAATGCCAATAAGTGTCTTCCTGGAGCTCATTTCATTCTGTCTGCACAAGTGCAGCTTGGTTGGATAAAGGGCCTGTGGAAACACAGGTGGATCGGGAGGAATGGTCCTTCTCTGGGAAAACAGGTGGATCAGGAGCAATGCCCCTTCTCTGGAAGGTGTAACATCAAAGCCCATGTAAAACATTCTCCTTCCCATCAAGCCCCACCTTCTGCTCTCAGGTGGGGTGTTCAGCTGAAAGAAGGGCCGTGGTTGGGGTGCTGCCACAGCCCAGCTTCCTTCCCAGCCTTGTGCTTCCCCCCACAGCATCTCTGCAGGGATGAATGTTCCAGACCCTTGGAGACATGGGGTGCACTCCTGAGCTCCCTGGCTCCCAGTGCAGCTTTGCACTTTTCCCAGACAGAGCTACTGGTGGGCAGGGCCATGAAGGTGCTTGATAGTAGATGACCCTCAAAAGAGTAGGAGGTCAAGCTCTTGGCCTCACATGTACCCATATCAACCCAGAGTGACTCTGCTGGCATCACCCAGGAACTAAAGTGAAAAGTAGTAAGGAAAATAATTAATTTCCAGGATGGTACTTGGGGTCAGATGTGCCAAAATCTACCGGGTTTTTTCGGCCCGTCAACTTCTCATCCCTTCTCCACACCCAGTATTTACACACCAGTCTGATGAGGTGTAATTACAGTGACTAACCTTGTTCTTTCCCCTGGAGAGCTGTACAGCTGTAAACTATGGCTTTTAGGAATTAGGAGTCTCCTGGGACCATGGACCACCTCTTCCACCTCCTGCTGAATGTCCCGACTCCTTGCTTGATCGCGTGGTGTTGTTCTGTTTTACTGAAAAGCCCCGGGTTTGAAGCCCTGGTTATTTCCAGGGTACTGTGAAGTCACAGGGAAGAAGACAAACATTAGGACTGGAGACCAGGCAACAGGTCTGTAGGGAAAATGATGCCCCTTTGGGGTCTGAGGGCCCAGACCTTCAGGACACGCACATTTGGCATCGGCGGAGCACTAGTGTTTTGTACCCCAGTTTTGTGGACATTGTGCATTTGTACATAGGGGGAACCTGAACAGCACATTTAAAAAAAAAATAAATAAACGAAACACGTTTTTGATACTCAGATGGCGACGATAAATTAAGTTCAAAAAGGCACTTTTGAGTTCAAAAGCGCATTTTTCGGGCTCTGCCTCGAACACCTCAAGCTGTTGGTTGGTGCCAACTGACTCTTCTCACTCAAGCTGTCGGCACCTCTGCTCTGCCCTCCTGTAAATAGGCTTTGACAGCAGAGAGTGATGGGAACT